TCAAGCTGTTGATCACCGGATTGTCTGGTCTAGATCCAATTATTTACAGACCGCCACGATATAGTTTGAATATTGCTGAGTGCGGCATAAAACTAAACTCACTCATAATCACATTCCTTACTCAATATTCCCTGCAGGTATCATTCGGCTGTGGATTCGTTGCAGCCCTAGTTTATGACAAACTACAAGGTGAGAGTGATCTTATGACAAGCATGGTTTGCTGAAGACAAAACTTCTAACAGGTGGTTCATGTCATGGAGATGGAACAGCAAGCTAGGTTACCCATTAAGATCCAGAGGGGCGGTGGGGTAGCCTAGTGGTTAAAGCGTTGGCTCATCACGCCAAAGACCCGGGTTTGAATCCCAACATGGGAATAATGTGTGAAGCCCATTTCTGGTGTCCCCCGCCGTGATGTTGCTGGAATATTGCTAAAAGAGGCGTAAAAAAACAAACTCAGTCAGTCAGTCATTAAGATCCAGGGACTCGAATTTCAAAGCTCTGTTAGCGCTAAGATAGTCGTAAGTTAATGTTAATGTATGACACTTACGACTATCTTAGCGCTAACAGAGCTTTGAAAATTTAGGCCCAGGTTAGAATTGGTTTTCAGCAACCCATGCTTGTTGTAAATGGCGACTAACGGGATCGGATGGTCAGGCTGGCTGGCTGACTAGGTTGACATGTCATCATATCCAAATTGCGTAGATCGATGCTCATGCTGTTGATCACTGGATTGTCTTGTCTAGACTTGATTATTTACAGACTGCCGACATATTGCTGACATATTGCTGTGTGGCATTAAACAAACAAACAAACAAACAACCACAAACCAACCCAACAAAATCCCAGCCCCCCAAAATAATGAATACTCATTGAGGGCACAGAACAAAGAAGCACACATATGTATACATGATACTATGAATGTTTATTCAGGTTGTAAATGTATTTCCAATGTATTTACAAATGAGGAACTTTTCCTCAGAAGAATGGTACACCATTATAAGTATTGTGATATATATGGAACAGGTAGCTGAAACACAGGCATACATACAACATACAAGGAAGTAAACGGTTTCCTTGTCAATGTTGCACACAAAACAGTTTTGTAACAGAAAGTGATTCAAAACTTCTCATTTGTTCTCAACTCCACAGGACTTGATGGCAAGACTGACAGAGTTATCTCCCCTCAACCACACTGCATTCAAAATGAAACCTAACTTGCAAAGACAATCACAGCCCACTGAAGGGAATGATAGCACCTGTACAGAACCTTATCTGGCTTGGACATTCTGTCAAGATCTACAATAGGCAACAGAAAATATGTCAAATGGCACGTATCAAATGAAAAAAAGGAGAACCGGAGTTATTAAACGGTATGATTTGCCAATATAATACATTTCATTGATAACTTGAATGCATGATATTTCAAAAAAAATTTAGGATGTACTATACTCAAGGTTACAGTCAGTTTACAGTCTCGGTCATATGTGTTAGACTAATGTATCATGTCGTGCTATGGGAACATCGGATGATCTAGTTAGAATTGGTCTTCACCAACCCATGCTTGTAAGATTCAACCCACGGGATTAGGCTTTCAAAACTTGTTTGACACGCCACCATGTCCAATCTGTGCAGATCGTGCCCATTGTGTAAATCACTGTATTGTCAAGTCCAAACTTGATTATTTACAGACTGCCCACAAATAGCTGGAATATTGCTGAGTATGGCGTTAAACAAAAAAACAACAACTTTGCTAGTTGGTTATTCACGAACTGATAACCGGTTACATATCAGTTGAATTTTGTGGGAAAAAAATGTTGATTTGCAATAATTTGAATCAAATTTCTAAAACCTACACTTTGTTCTCGCTCTTCATGCAGTCGCTATGATAATGTTAGAGATCATCTTTGGTGACTGTTTCAGGTCAATGTTAATGTATGAGAGTTGCAATAATCTTTGGGGCATGTTGATCATGAGAGTTACGATCATCTTATCATCTTAGTGCTGTAATTTCCTTGTGGAAATGACCCTATGTTTGACAGCTCACGAAACTGTCTTTTAATAAACATAATATCTCTGACACAAATTAAAATCTTTTACAACAAAAATGCATAAAGAAAGAATAAAATATAATCATCTGATAAATACAGGATTATACATTTGCAGATTTCTGGTCATAATGCTAACATGCCTGGATACTCTTGGATCGTACCAGATTTGGAATAAATACCATTTTAATATAGCTACAATATATTGTTCGTCAAGATTTTGCATACCTTTATCATCCATCCTTGATAACCTAGTATATTCAGCACTATACTGAACAACAAAAGTTAGGTATCATGAATATTTAACAGGGACATTTTGAGGCTATGAACACGGTTCCATAAAAAACATCCCTTTAAATAATCATGCTCCCTAATTTTTTTTATTCAGTATATGATAGACATCCTGCCAAAGAAGACGTCACAGAAGTGCTAGCACTCCTGAGCTTGAAAACAACAAAAATTACGCGACTGAATGAGAGTTCATCATAAATCGGTACCCACATCGATGAACTCAAAATATTCTTCACTTGATGAACTCAAAATATTCTTTACTTTCATATAAAGAGTGACCAGATCAAGGTTATCCAACATCCTATGGCAATCCATGAGGAAGGATCGGCACATTGAATCACTTATATAAAAATACTCACACATTATGAAACACGTAATAAATACTGCAGGTTTAACCCTTTATTTCAACAAAATATCGTTATCATTCATAAATATAAACAACTGAAATTATATTGCATTGGCATTCTTGTTAAAATGCATCTGTTGTTTAACGTCACACTGAGCAATATTGCAGCTATTTGACTGCATCCTGTGAATAATTTTGTCCAGACCACACAATCCTGTGACTGATATTATGAACCACGATCCTTGTGTTGGATCCATATGGTTGTATCTTTCTACCATTTCTGTAGCTGGGCATCTATTTCAACAAGGCATGATGCAATTGTGATGAACCTTAGTAGCATTTCAGTTGTACATTCTTTACAAAACTATGTGAATTATTACAGAGGTACTGATAACCTTTTGGGTCATTGAGTTAAGTACTCGCTTGTGTTCTTCTCAAGTTGGTATTACAATTTTCCTTTGAGTAACCAAACAAATTGTACTCACCACACTCAAACTCAATTGGGTATTTTGCCATTTTCCATTAATTGTAAAAATATAAAAGTTTAAATGTTGGTTTATGTGTTTGTTATTTATATTCCATCTGTAATATGAGAAACGTTAAGAAAGACTGCAAGTTGCCAAGTTCATGTGTTGAAATAGAAAATCTCAATATACAGTTATTTTATCTATCCACCGGTACGCAAGCTAAGATTTGACAATTATATGTGTACGCGTGTAAGATCACATTTATTGAGTATCTCCAAAAATTAAGCGTACTTGTACGTAATAGACTTAATAGGAATTGAGTATTCACATTAATATTTGTGTAATTTACGCCGATACACAGCTTATCTGTACCTCTGATTATTATTAATGTTCAGCTGCTATCTCCAATTGTGTTACTGAAACACATAAGTAGGGTACCTACTTATGCCAATATATGGTTATAGTTTTCTGTGAGTGTACAGTCACTTTTAACAGTATCTCCAATACATTATGGCAGTCAGTCTAAATTGTGCCTCACTTGATCAGCCAGGGATTAATATCTCCACTGTGTTATAAGTACCTTGGACCAACAAACTCGCAATGAATAAATCATGGTGAATGGGTCCAGGATATTTATCTGAATAGATGTGAGATATTACAAACTGGATACATGAGGAGGGTTTTAGGCTGGAGACATTAACCACTCCCATTATGTTAACTGGTGACAGTCTAAGATTCAAACACACAAGCAGGTCAGATGTGAAGCAAAGGGACATAACTCCCCCAACTACTGTGCCCTTGACAAGATCTACCTCTTATTAAAATGTTGAAAATCAAATATATGTTTATCACTGTAGACCCGAAAAAGTGTTGCATGAGAAAACAATAATCATATTTCCAGAATCTTGTAACACAATAACTGAACGACTCTGTCATCCAAACTAGCTACTTTGCAGAAGGAATTGCTTGAGAAAAGTCCTAATAAATATTTGATGGAGATTTTTAGGAAGACTTGTAAACAATGTACTCATTGTACAAACAAAACAATGTACATCAACATATATCCTGAACAGGGCAGTAATGACACACTGTCACTATACGTATCTCTCTGGTACGATCGTAAAATGATACACCAATCGAAGAACAAACTTAACTTTTATCTTAGAGAGCTTATCCAGCATCAAAGATTCTAAACAATTTTCAGTTAATACTAATATTGAATAAGGAAGATATAGGAAATATTAAAAAAGGAAATAGTATTTTACAATTGATTTTCCTATCATACAAGTAGTCCTTATATATACATATATATCATCTCGTATCTACAAATGTCCTTAAGATACATTATACAGGGCTCCAGATTAAACCACTGAGTATTTATCCATAAAATGTTATTAGTTTTCTTAGGTGCCATAGTATATATTTACTTTGGGGCAAGTCAGATGGATGTTTTTATATCAATGAGAAGACATATTTAAAAATAATTCTTGTTGGTTCAGGTGACTTCTAACATGTGTTTATGTGAATCCCCTGTGTCATGGGAGTCATAGCACTTTTGTATGCATTATTCAGTACAGTGGTGCAGGGCTCCAGATAATTTTTCAACATGAGGAGTACATACTCCTTACTTTTTTTAATACAGGAGTACGGAAAAATTTTAGAGTACTAAACTTACGAGTACATTTAGAGTACCGTACTGAATGGAATTTAATGGAGTATCAGTAGTCTTGTGTTTCGTTTCATGTATGCACCACAATATTGATTCTTGTGTAAACAGGTCAATGAACAATAAAACAATACTTTCTCAGATAAATACGTCTGTAAATGATTCTAAGACCACTATGGTCGTGGTGCGTATCTGCTATGTTTTCTAAATTATTTCCTTCCGTATCGTGCATATTTTTTATCCATACATGCGCCGATACGGCCCTTATCTGTAGCCCTGGTAGTGTATACGGAAGTGTACTGCCTGTATCAATCAGTAAATATAGATCTGTAAATAAATATTGGTATGCACTTTTAGAAACGGATACATTAGGTATTTACGAAGTGTTGTCATACTATTGGGTCTGAAATATTTCGAAGCGTGTTTGCATGCTAGCAATTAACAAATAACTAAGTAATGAAGACTTATTTTGCAAATCAAATAGAGTAAACATTTATAGAACACTTAAAATGAACTGATAGATGTAACCAACTGTTTTTTTGTCCCATTGATCTGTTGCATATTTTTAGCTGAAAAGAGTAAAATGACTAAAATTAGTGGTAGTTTACTGTATGCGGCTTCTCTGGAGCTCTGGATATGTATGTGAAGGTATACAACATACGTCACCATAACTTTGGTGAACTGTTACATCATATCATTTGTAACACCACAAAGTCTGATTACTTGAGTCATTGCATCAGCTGAATGGGATGATAGGAAAAGCACCCATAGAAGAACACCACATGAACACCTCCATATGTTGACACCATGAAGAACATCCAGGTGAAGACCATTCAAAAGCATCCATCGGCTGACCAACATCTTCAAAAACATTCAACAGTATTCATTAGAAGACCAATGTCTTGTAGAACATCCAGGTGAAGACCATTCAACAAGATCCATCAGCTGACCATCATCTTGAAAAACATTCAACAGTATCCATCAGAAGACCAATGTCTTGAAGAACATCCAGGTGAAGACCATTCAACAAGATCCATCAGAAGACAAATAATTTGAAAAACATCCAGGTCAAGAACATTCAACAAGATCCATCAGCTGACCAACATCTTGAAAAACATCCAGGTGAAGACCATTCAACAAGATCCATCAGCTGACAAATATTTTGAAAAACATCCAGGTCAGGAACATTCAACAGCATCCCACAGAAGACCAACATCTTGGAAGAACATTCAACAAGATCCATCAGCTGACCAATATCTTGAAGAACATCCATCAGAAGACTGAAGACAGTTTCACCAGTGTTCACTGCAGACAATATCACATTGCCCAAGCTCATGCATATTACCATCCAAACATGAAGAGCCACAACACTAGCTAGAGGGCTGGTTATTGCAACATCGAGAGATAATATCACATACAGACCATATATATACACTCATACACTCTTCATCAACAACACTTTTTCTTCCCATTCAAATTATCAGGAGTTTCCCCCGGTCGTATGTAGTCTCGCCGAATCGTCATTTTGCTCATGGCCTCTTCATGTAATATTTTGGCCATATCGGTGAACATTTCCTGGATGCCAACATTGTCTTTACATGAAACTTGGTACACGGCTGACAGAACGTCACCACACTCACTCATGAAAGCCTCAAAGTCGCTCTCTGTGACAGTTTCACTGTCTCCATTGGAATCGGCCATGTTCCCGCACAGGAATATCTTGGCACCTTCAGCGTTCATGACAATGTCAAGGATGTATTGGGAAAGGATTGTGAAAGTGTCTTTGTTATTCACATTGTAGCACAGCAGGGCTGCCTGCGCTCCTCGATAGTAGCTCGACCCGATGAAACTCATCCTCTCCATCCCGCCTGTGTCCCATAAGGTCAGCTGAAACGAAAAATGAAAACTGTTTACCTTATGACAAACCATCATAGATAATCTACTGTATTATATGTTAATTCTCTTGTGATATATATCCTGGACTCTTTCTCTAACAAGCATATGGCACTGACGATCAAAGCAGATGGCACTGACGATCAAAGCATATGGCACTGACTATCAAAGCATATGGCACTGACAATCAAAGCATATGGCACTGACTATCAAAGCATATGGCACTGACAATCAAAGCATATGGCACTGACAATCAAGCATATGGCACTGACAATCAAAGCATATGGCACTGACTATCAAAGCATATGGCACTGACAATCAAGCATATGGCACTGACAATCAAAGCATATAAATCAAGCATATGGCACTGACAATCAAAGCATATAAATCAAGCATATGGCACTGACAATCAAAGCATATAAATCAAAGCATATGGCACTGACAATCAAAGCATATGGCACTGACAATCAAAGCATATGGCACTGACTATCAAAGCATATGGCACTGACAATCAAAGCATATGGCACTGACAATCAAAGCATATGGCACTGACAATCAAGCATATGGCACTGACAATCAAAGCATATGGCACTGACTATCAAAGCATATGGCACTGACAATCAAGCATATGGCACTGACAATCAAAGCATATGGCACTGACTATCAAAGCTTATGGCACTGACAATCAAGCATATGGCACTGACAATCAAAGCACATGTCACTGACAATCAAAGCATATGGCACTGACAATCAAAGCATATGGCACTGACTATCAAAGCACATGGCACTGACAATCAAGCATATGGCACTGACTATCAAAGCATATGGCACTGACAATCAAGCATATGTCACTGACAATCAAAGCATATGGCACTGACAATCAAAGCACATGTCACTGACAATCAAAGCAGATGGCACTGACAATATGGCACTGACAATCAAGCACATGTCACTGACAATCAAGCATATGGCACAGACAATCAAAGCACATGTCACTGACAATCAAAGCATATGGCACTGACAATATGGCACTGACAATCAAGTACATGTCACTGACAATCAAGCATATGGCACTGACAATCAAGCATATGGCACTGACAATCAAAGCATATGGCACTAACATTTTGCTCAAAGTTAGTTTGTCACAAATATTCTGAAGTTAAAATACTCCATGGAGTAATAATTTATACAAAAGTTCATCACTGATTATTACTCCATGATAGCATACTTCAGCAGTACTATTAATTGAATACTAAAAGAGTTATCTCCCTTTCTGGGGACACCATCCTCTCATCCGTGTAACATAGACACTGCGCCTTCCTTGACTGTCAAGAGAGATTGCAAGCACTAAATGCACAACTTTCACCCAACAACTCTCTTTAAGGGTGTGTTAGATTGTGACGTGAGTAACCACCTGAAACCGAAACATTCAAAACGAGAACAAACAGAAACAACTGCTTCCTCCTGTGGAGTGTTGGTAGCAAGACTCAGTTGACTCAGCTTTGTATGAGTGAGTGAGCTTAGTTTTACGCCGGACTCAGCAATATTCCAGCTATATGGCGGAGGTCTGTAAATAATCGAGTCTGGACCAGACAATCCAGTGATCAATAGCATGAACATCGATCTGCGCAATTGGGAACCGATGACATGTGTCAACCAAGTCAGCGAGCCTGACCACCCGGGCCCATCTAGTCGCCTCTTACGACAAGCATAGTCGCCTTTTGTAGCAAGCATGGGTTGCTGAAGACCTATTCTACCCCGGATCTTCACGGGTCCTGCTTTGTATGTACAGGCAAAATACATGTTTAGTCCCTTCACACCCTACACCTGTACCAATTTCATTCCATTTTGAAAGGGGGCAGTGGGGTAGCCTAGTGGTTAAAGCATTTGATTGTCACAATGAAGACCCGGGTTCGATTCCACACATGGGTACAATGTGTGAAGCCCATTTCTGGTGTCCCCCGCCGCGATATTGTTGGAATATTGCTAAAAGTGGCGTAAAACTAAACTCACCATTTTTGAAAAAAATATTTAAAAAAAACTCTGGCTGAGTAACTGCCGTAAAGTGAATTTGACCTCTTGGGTCATCATCATTGGTGGGAACAAATATAAGAAATTTCAACTTTATTTGTTCTTGAGGAAAAGAGATTCAAAACAGACGATGCATAAAAGACGCATGCTTGACCAACAGTTTACAACATAACCTCGCATGACTTTCAGTCAGCGTGGAGAACAGATAGTCAGAACAGACAGTCCAAAAGATGAGTGAGCGAGCTTAGTCTTACACCGCTTTTAGCAATATTCCAGCAATATCACCAGAAATGGACTGTACACATTGTACCCATGTGGGGAATTGAACCCAGGTCTTCAGCGTGACGAGTGAACACTCCATCCACTGGGTTACCCCACCGCCCTCAGAAAGATGAGGAACTAAAGACAGGCTCAGCATTAACTGCATTCACGTTTAATATTTATACAAGTTTATGAGTAACTTAACGATAACAGGATTTCAACCCGCTTTGTTTAATGCCTGTGGGAAAGGATGTTTCAACATCCTCTATACACATGGATGTACTGAAGTAAATGCAGATATGTCATGGGTTAATTTAGCTGATTCATAGAGAGGTAAGGTAGCCTAGTGGTCACAAAGTTCACTTAATGCGCAGAAGACCCAGGTTTGAATCCCCACATGGGTTTGAAGATCAATACTAGTGTACTGTTATAGGGACTAATTCAGGACAGCCATCGTCCAAATATTTAAAAATTCAAAAACTACGTAGTCAAGACATGTGAAACTTTATTGTAATTATTTATATGACGCTAATCTGTATTCTATGTACTCCTTATCACTTTCGCATTGTACATTGACTTGTCAGGCAATTAATCACTGTATATGACATTTATAACCTTCATTGGTAATCCCCCTTGACAGTCGTGTCTGCCATCACATCAACTGGTCAAGGAAGTGCTATTGTTTTTCTGTCTCCATTGATGAGTCGTCGCCTGTCCATTGTTGTCAAAAACTGTATATATACTTAGTATGCTCACATCTAGACAGTGAAGGAGTACGAGTTCGGTATTTGGACTGTCTGTTGGGACGACCACGAGCAGGATATTGACGCTCTTAGGAAACGTCCTGGGGGTTGAGCAGGTACTTCGCTCACCACATGTATGTCTTGTGCATTTGTTTGACATGTAACTAAAGAAGTTTGAACTCAACTATGCCTTCGTCTTCATCAACGCACACTTCATCTTAATAATGATCTAATTCTCTAGTCGACGTATACCACGCGTTGACAGTACCCTGCTCTGATATTGCTGGAATATTGTAGAAACAAATTAAAACCTTATTCAAAGGTACAGATATGCTGTGTAACTGTGTAAATTACCCAAATATTTATGTGAAAACTCAATTCCTATGAAGTCTGCGTACAAGTACGCTTGAATTTTTGTAAACACTGAATAAATGTGATCTTACATGTGTACACACAAAATGTCAAATCTTAGCTCGCATACCGGTGGATAGATAAAATAACTGACGTATATAGAGAGGTTCTATTTCAGGACATGAACTTGACAACTTGCAATCTTTCTTATCGTTTCTCATATTACAGATCAAATATTAAATAACAAATACTAACATTTAAACTTTATTATATTTTTTTAAATTAATGGACAATGGCAAAATACCCAATTGAGTTTGAGTGAGGTGAGTGCAAATTATTTAGTTACTCAAAGGAAACTTAGGATACCCATTTGAGATGAACGCAAGTGAGTACATAACTCAATGACCCAAAACCTTATCTGTAGCTCTGCTTATTTATTCACGCTATTTAAAGTTAATGGACCAACTGACAATTGGTCACCTCTTACGACAAGCATGGGTTATTGATGACCAATTCTACCCTGTGTCAGTCTGGATCTGAGAGTGTGTATATAAGTATTATGATAAAACTCAATAGGCAACACTTTTGTATGTCACTTTTGATTTTGTAAATAATGTTTTGTACAAAATGTTAACCTAACACAAACAGGAGATAAACCAATAACCCCACTGACTTCCTCCTGTTGTCAAGATACCAGTAGGATTAAAACTGAAAGACTAGTGAAAATATTCACACACATTGACTGTCGAGTAATATATTAAAGTTGAAGATACTACTTAAACCAGTTTCTTCCTATTCAGCCAAATATATTCCCCTTGTGATGAAACCACACATACTGCAGCTGGCTCTCTGAACTCCTTCAGGTAATGTGGATACTTGAAACCTGGGTGGTGAGTCACACTATCGCGAGTGTTGAAATATAGAAACACATTATCCCAAATGTGTCAGACATGTCTGAAAACTCCATTTTTTTAAACTAAAAGATACATTTCTGATAATATATAAATACACATAAATCAAAACATCAGCTGATCTAGTGATTTATTAATCTGTTCATTGACAGATGGAGTAATTTGTATGATAATGCCACTCCATTTCACTTAATCAGACCTATTTCAAATACATCTCTGGATGTTGGGCACTCAAGAGTGAGTGAGTTTAGTTTTACACTGCACTCAGCAATATTCCAGCTATATGACGACGGTCTGTAAATAATCGAGTCTGGACCAGTCAATTTAGTGATCAACAACATGAGCATCGATCTGTGCAATTGGGAACCGATGACATGTGTCAACCAAGTCAGCGAGCCTGACCACCCGATCCCGTTAGTCGCCTCTCACGACAAGCATGGGTCACGGAAGGTTCATTCTAACCTGGACCTTCACAGGTTGGCACTCAAGAAGTAGCTGGCAAATAACTGTTGCACTATATTTATTGGAGTGAGTTGTGATTAGTGCCACAGTATTCCAGTTAAATCAGGGCGTGTCAGCTAGCTACGGGAGGGAAGCCTAAATGGATGCAGTTCTCAGACGTTTACCACTCTTGACCACTCACATATCCTCGAGCATGGGTATCACAATTAAAAACACTTAGCTGCTAATTTACAAGGCTTCACAAATAAATCTGACCTTTCAAATGCTGACACATACACTTTGCCCTTCATATTTAGATTCAGTCGCATACATTTCGCAAATCAACTTTGTAAATATTAGCTGTGACAAACAGCCCATATTCCCATCAATCATAACTGGACATGTTTAGAAGTTTATGACATCCACAATGATACCGTGACAGTGAAACAAGCTCACTGGATGTAGGCCCTCAGTGCATCCTTCCATTGTTATTGTTCGTGCCATCGAAAGGTCACACCCAGACCGACTGTAATCACTCAGCTGTTTCAGCTAGTTATAAGCACATACTCATACAGTTATTCCTCCCTGTTAACTTTTGAACTTCTAAAAGCAAAATAATCCATTCTAAAGGGAGTCTGTTTTCAAGAACAGGTGTTTAGCATTTTGAGGCTTACGTCTGCACATGTTGAAAACAAAATGGCCGCCAACACTGGTGAAACACCTTGGTGGTAATTGAAAGTTCATCACCTTGTTTTAAAGGGGATGTTTCTTGGTGTTTCTTGGCGTTTCTAGCATGTTTTGAGGCATCTTTCACCAGCAGATACCTCGCACCTGTTTCCTTGAGGTCTTAGGGTCAATGGCAGATACATGGTACCATATGTGACATAAGACGACCCCCAAACTTGACCCTTAAAATCAGTGTCAAAATGGTATGTTTCGTGCATTAATGTCGATCCCCCGCGATGGGGTCCTAATCGCGGCAACACAGACCACATTATTCAAAGAATTCACTGTCATATATATTGTGTCTACTCACGGATCGAAACGAAGTGTAGTTGACAGAAAATGCATAAAATATTTTGCTTCTCTAAATATCATATTTATTGTAGAAACAAACTGGCTTGCTTATTTTACCCCATTCAACAATCACGAACTGATTACCACCTCGTTTTCCATTGACTGCTAGTTTGCAAAAACAACTTATAACTTAAAAGGTAAATAATCTTGTCTAGTGATGTTTAATTGCAAATTTGACGTCTCTACTGACAAAGTCGTCTTCCGTTGTTTGTTCACGTGAAGTGATACGATGTTGTTTTCTTACCCCTGGAAAAAAGTTTGACGAAAGCGTAACCCATGGATAAGACGACCCCCTTCTACAGACTGCTTTTTTGGTCCTCAAAATTCGGCTTATAGACGGTCATATACGGTATTTAGTAGACTTAGTCTCAGAATTTATGCAATTTGGATAGAAACAAACGATTCCTCTTTAATGGAAAAAGAGCTTCAGTGAGAAGGGAGATTCAAAACCTGAGGAAATCTAGACTTGTTTCATTTAGGGCTTTAGCATTGCAGGGAGGACTAGGCGGAAGGGAAAATAATGTGGTTTCAGGGACTGTGAGGAAGAGGTATTTAGTTATTGTCAGTCACACCGTGGAAATGTTTTAAAAAATTCCTCTGTTCTAATTTTGCCTCTTATTTGAAACAGCAGTTGAATTGATTGCTTTCTTTCTGAGAAAAAAGCTGTATGTCTTCAATAATTGATAAAAAAAAAATGTTTTTCTAACAAAAAGTCACTCAGGGCCTCAACTACAATATGGCAAGGTTCACACTTATTCCAAACATTCATCTTCCCTCCACATTCAGTTGTCACATTGACAGTATAATACAGTTTTCATGCATTCATTTCCTGGTTTCTAAAGAAAGCATTCATTTCCTGTTGAAATTTTTCAACTCAAGTTGTCTCTGGTTTTCATCAGGGCGGTGGGGTAGCCTAGTGGTTAAAGCGTTGGCTCGTCACGCCGAAAACCCGGGTTCGATTCCCCACATGGGCATAATGTGTGAAGCCCATTTCTGGTGTCCCCTGCCGTGATATTGCTGGAATATTGCTAAAAGTGGCGTAAAATCAAACTCAGTCAGTCAGTCTGGTTTTCATCAACCAAAACAGACAATCATGATGCTGTGACAAGGTTCTTTGCTTGTTGTTTAGTCAAGCTATATGGCAGCAGTCGTAAATAATCAGACGATCCAGTGATCAACAGCATGAGCATCAATCTATGCAACTGGGATACGATGACACGAGTCAACCAAGCCAACAAGTCTGACCACCCGACCCTGCGAGTTGCCTCGTACGACAAGCATGGGTTGCTGAAGACCAATTCTAACCCGGATCTTCACGGGTATGTGACAAGGGTAGACAGACGTTTAAGTGAACAGTAGTTCAGTGAAGGACTGGGAGATGGCTTCGTCATGTGATGAGTTCTGTGAACTGCATGTGCATCCTGTACCACTTGCATGTACACAGATTTTGTAATACATATATACATCCTTGTGTACACGAGCATAATCTAAACTAGGCTTTGTGCTCCATGTGGCACAGATATAGTGGATGAATTTCACACATTGCCGGTCACCCGTCCTATTCAATTGTGTACATACTAGATATACACCATTTTACTGTAGAAGAAACTGCAATTTATCACATTAGTCCAGACCAATTTTATTTCTTGTTTTACGGATCCGTCGGTCGTATTTTTTCAAGAATAAGAAAAAAAATCTAAATTAATTTTCCCCGCTCAAAAAATATTTTTTTAATATTTTTATTGGCCAAAAATGTAAATGTGCAAGAAAATGTTTTTAGATTGTTTTTTGCCCCATATATAACTTCATAAATTGCCAAAAGTAAAATACTTTTAGTATTAAGAAGGAATATTACTTTGACTGGTGATTTTTATTTTTATTTGTTTTTCCTCCTGCCTTTAGGTTTTCTGAGGACAGAAATCTGTAAAACAAGAAATAAAATTGGTTTGGCCTTATGAATAAACGTAAAGAATCAGTAGAAGTGCCTCAGGGGTGAGAAGGGGAAGAAGGGTGGGTGGGGTGGGAGATCAACAAGCCTTGTCCATTCCCCAGCCACTCGCTGTATATTCTAGTTAAAATGCTTGTAATGAACTACAGTTGTTATACTGCTATGGGAATCTTAAAGCAAGAAGAGGTGGGATGTGCTAGCTCTGCAGCCAGGGAAGTCAGCATGTTGAGCAAATACTGCTATTGGAATTGCAGAAGTAACTGAACAGATGCAATTAAACATCAAGATAAACTTCTCCCCTAGAATGAGACGATGTTGGTTGGTTGGTTTATTGTTTAACGTCTCACTCAGCATTATTCCAGCTATATGGCAGCGGTCTTTAAATAATCAAGTCTGGACCAGACAATCCAATGATCAACAGCATGAGCATCATGTACACAACTGGGATACGATGACATGTGTCAACCAAGTCAGCCAGCCTGACCACCCAATTCCGTTAGTCGCCTTTTGCGACAAGCATGGGTTGGTTAAGACCAATTCTAACCCAGATCTTCACGGGTTGTGAGATGATGGTATTACCCCCTGGATTCTATAAACCTCTGTATGAACCTCTGAATGATATCGTGAAACGTTCTGATGATGATTAATTCTAATGATGACAATCATTTCTCACTCGTGGGCACTAATTAAGTATATATAAAAGTCATTGGTCACAGCCAGGCCTATCTTTGCACTCACAGCTTACATTATCAATGCACACCTTTCCCTGCTCAGCATGAGGTTTGAGATTACATGTCGTCTCCATCAAAGCACATTTTTTAAAAATCTATTTTTAACCTGAAGAAGTCTATGTTGATAACAAAAAAAAAAAAGTCTAAGTTATCTCAAACTGATAACCTTCCCTTGCCAGAAGCCATACAGTACATCAGCCTTTCAACACAACTTGAATTAATTACCTTCGACCATCAACAGAATCTGTTTAATTATACATTGGCTACACACTACCAGAACATCTTCTATTTTATCTGACCTTAATATATTCCTAAAAATAGTTACGTACTCAAGAAAAACACCAACCCACAATCTTTTCCATGTCACTACAGATAATCTGTGAACCTGTTGGTGCTTATATCTGGAACTATGAATTAAGTGGTGAGTGAATTGGGTAGAAGTGAGTGAGTCAGTGAGTCAGTGAGTGAGTCAGTGAGTGAGTGAGGTGTTATGCAACTTTCAACAATATTCAAACAATATCACAGTAGGGAACACCAGATATGGCTTTCACACATTATACCCATATTGGGAATTGAACCCAGCTCTCTGACAAGATGTGCGAACTCTTCAACCACTAGGCTACCCCACAACCCAAAAATGAATATCAAATGATAGGCCTTAAAGCAAGACATGTATAAACGCTATACCTTCACATCAGAGCCTTTCACTTCAAACACCTGGGTGCTCTGGTCCAATCCAATGGTAGATTTCTTGCCCGTTTCTTCAATGTAGGTATTATTGCGGAATCGTCTGAAGATGGAACTCTTGCCGACCCCATACTCCCCACACAGGATGATCTTGTAGTTGGGGCTGCCAGTTGCCATCTTCAGTGGTCTGTAAACAAAGGAAAACTTGTTAGTGTTAAACAAATTCTCGTTAATGATCAATAAATTCTCTTCCTGATTATTGACAGTTCCTGGTCACATGAAACTACTAAAAGACACAAAGCCAGATCAATACACCCTGTTATGGCATGTGTTATCTTTATACATTTTCACAGATCAAACCTGATATTTCAAAACGTGTGCTTAATGGTGGATCTGGGATAGGGGTGCTTCTTGGTGGATCTGGGATTAGGGTGCTTATTGGTGGATCGGGGTGCTTCTTGGTGGATCTGGGATAGGGGTGCTTCTTGGTGGATCTGGGATTAGGGTGCTTATTGGTGGATCGGGGTGCTTCTTGGTGGATCTGGGATTGGGGTGTTTCTTGGTGGATCTGGGATAGGGGTGCTTCTTGGTGGATCTGGTATTAGGGTGCTTCTTGGTGGATCTGTGATATTGGGTTTAACGTCGTGCTTGAGAATATTTCGCTCATATGACGACGTGCATGCGTGTGTATGTGTATGTGCGGCTGCTTGTACTAGCCCAGGCTGAAGCTGGTTTTATAGTGCTAGCCCACTGAGATACCATGCCGCAGTGAAGCATGAATACCCCACTCAGACACAGTATACTGACTCCGAGCAGACCAATCTTTGTTCTACCCATTAATGCCGAGTGCCAGGCAGGGACCAACAAGTACCATATTTTAACGTCTTTTGGTATGATGCAGTCGGGGATCGAACCCGCGACCTTCCCCTCTCCGGGCGGACGCTCTAACCACTATACCACGGAGGCGGTGTTATATTCGGTAAAGTACATAGTATAGCAGTTTTTGGGGTTGACTTCCATTTGGGATTCAACCCCTCATTTTCAGTCTTAAATCACCACAACAACTAAAACACTTGTCCTTGTGTCTCAATTGAAACTAATTAAACAAGTGTAGAAGTGAGCAAAGCTCACATACCCCCGCTTCCCACTTTGGGACATGGAAATGACTGATATTGATATATATAATGTGACAAGGATCAGCAGCTCACAAGACTTTCTCTTTGACTCTACTAAACTTTATATAAATGTTAGATAATAGTTTTGGCATGTACTGATTACGGTAATAATTTATGGAAACTAGATTTTTTTGTGTTTTCCGTGGAAACCTGACATGTAATTGAACTTGACTGTCTCATGTTGCACACAATGGACGTAGATGAAGATTGCTATTTTTTAGCACATGGCATATCTGTGGGTCATGATTAACTTGTGTATTAAGTTTGGTGAACCTAGCATGTATAGTTGCGATGATATGCCGTGGTCAGGTCACCATCAAATACATTTTGCATGTACCTAGCATGAACCTAGCATGTAAACTTTAAGAGATATGCTCTGGACAAAATAATCAAACACATTTGGCACTAAGTCGTGTTTCCATGGAAACAGCAAAAAATACAATTCATATCTGGATCTACCCCCCAAAAGGCGCACATCTAGGGATCATGCTTGATATGTGTACCAAGTTTGATGAAGCTAGCATGTATAGTTTGGAAGATCTGCTCCGGACAAGATGACATCCTCATATTCACAGCCTAAATCATGTTTCCATGGAAACAGCAAAAAAACTAAATTCTGAAAAAACTTTAAAATAGCAAAAGGCACATAAATGGGTAATGATTACTATGTGTGTGAAGTTTGGTGAACCTAGCATGTAAACTTTAAGAGATATGCTCCGGACAAAGTTTCGGGACGGACGGACGGACGGACAGAATGAACGCTATATACCCCCGTTACTTCGTAGCGGGGGTATAATAATGCCATTTACAATATTTTATCAGAGAGATGACTTCATGGAAACTATCCCATTATTACTACTAATACTTCTACAATATATATGATTGTTACAATAGTGTGGGATTTACAATATTTGAATATCCACCAGAGTTATATTGCTGTGTTCCTTTCAACCTCACTTCATATTTAACACAGCACACAGCTATATTCCAACTATATGACAGCCTTTTGTTATTAATCGAGTTTTGACCATCGATCTCCACAATTGGGATATGATGACATGCATCAACCAAGACAGCGTACTTTACCAGATGATCCTGTTAGTCGCACAGTTTGCTGAAGATCAACTTTTACCTGAATCTTCACAAGTAAGTTTATCTTTACTTCATGAACTAAACAGACTTGCAAGAAATGATGATTACTATAAATCATTGTTCCTAGAATATACTAGAATATTGGGATAATAAAAACAAGTTGCATCTATAGATGATTAGCACAACCTGCAGCTTATCTAGACATGCCTATCACTATATTCAGGGGTTCAAAAATCCCATCGCTTGACGCCGGGGACAAGTCAGTTTTCATTTCGGGTAATAAAATAATGGTATCTTACTTGTCCGTGGGCTACTAGATAATTTCCACTTATGGTTTCAAACTGCAAATAAACTTGGATTGAATGTCATATCTGTTCCAAATGCAGCTATTAAATTTCGCAATGATAATAAAGTAGAGTTATCTTTCTTTGCTATTTATCACTTTTCAATAAATAGTCCAGTAAACATTAACATCAAATACCATGTTGATTTATTCTTTCATAATTACATCATGATTATGTCAAATATCAGGGCAAGCTGAAAATTAGTCATGACAAGTTACTTTCTTAAAGTCACTTGCCTTGTGGCAAAAAAAAAATCTGAACCCCTGATATTACTGTGCATCCATCAACATTTCCTTCAGCACAGAATTTAAGCAAACCTACAAAGTCCACAACGAACTCATTAGATAGATTTATACAAGCTCACAGCCATACTTCATCTGAATCACATCTGTCAACAGTTAATGTACACAGTTTGTTTGAACAAATAGAAGATGAATTGGATGTATTTATTTAAAAATTTAGATGAAAGCTAGTAATAGATTCATTGTGGATGTTTTGCCACAAGATTGACAAAGCTGAAAAATTTACGTCAATTCATGATAGGCTGAAAAGCTTCTCTTTCCGAATTCAGGGAAGGAAGTTTAAGAAAGGATTGACCATTCTGTCTAACTGTCTTGTCAAATCATGAAACCATTGTGTATTTACTCACATTATTATTCACATTAGGCATTGATGGTTTCTTTGGGCACTTAACATGTATTTACTCTTTAGCGCTAGGCCTATTGGCCATGGGTTTTGAAAACTGCTGACGTGATGTTTATCAATGTAACTCTACATCTGTGCTGTTTGAATTACCTTCTAATTACCATTTGTGTCTCACATGTGATACACAATACACTTACAGTGATATATGTACCGTTACATTAAGCAGCATGGTGCACATCTGTGCCTTACAGGATATTGCACATATGCAATGCTAGTCTGTCGTACAGGCCCTGAAGCAAATATATCCAAGAAAGCCCACGCAAGTCTAGAAAATGTGGCAAATCTAGATTTCCTTCAGCCTCTGAAAATGAAGAAAGTGTCAGGGCTCCTTTTCATTATTTTTAATTTTTTTTTTACTATGGACTTTTTTTCAGTAAAGTACGTGTAAAGACATACATGTACGCAACCTAAGAGTAACTCAACATAAATTGTGGGAGATGATTTAATTCGCGTATTTTATACTAAAAGAAAAGCTAGTTAAAATATCTGGAGCACTTGTAGTACTGTGACCTGATTAAAGGAATGAGAATATCGTCTGAAAGCATTGAATATTTTGTTGGTGACATGTATTTCAAAGGAATCAATAGCCAGTAACAATGAGGTCTACCCCTACTTGCTATGAGAAATAGTGGTGTTCCGATTAATTGAAATAATCGAAGATTGGTCGCAGTGGCCAAACGACCAAGCAATCGATCACATTTTCTCATAATGGAACCACTGTAATAGAGTTTGAAATACTTGATGATGGAACATATCTAGGACGTTGTCAGGGCTGGAAAACGTGTTTAATTCTTAGAAAACTCACTTCACTTTCTGAAAAGTCATGACTGAATATTTCTTGAAGAATCTGGGAAGGTAATGTTACACTGGAACTGAATCATTTTCCACTGGATGTGAAATTTGCAAATGTAATTTGTGCAGTTTCTAAATAAAACAAAAACAACAACAGAGAACCAAATGTTTTTTTCTTTATACTTATCTGCAACTACAACCTGTATAGGAAAATCTAAAAAATAACGCTAACCAATTTTTTTCAATGATTGGTCGTTGGTATCGAACCAATCATCAATTGTGAAATTTCAACCAATTCCCAACACTTATGAGAAACAACAAACATGTTCACCATGCAAAATCCAGGTATATATGTATATGTCTCCATCGTACAGAACAGTCCCACACTGAAAGTCCTGTGGAGCACTCCCTTCTTACACTTACACAAGTATCTAACACAGTAATGTTTGATATAAATCACTATTTCTACATTACAAGAAAATGGTCTGAATTGTCCCTAGAAAAGACTGATGTCCAATATTGTCCACTTATGTAGTCTTTTCTAGTACAAAAAAACTAAAAAAGTTGGGACAGTTTCTTTAAATGTGTACAATATATATGTGTACAGTTCCCCATGTTCTGTCACTCCAACGTTTCAAATCACAGCTGAAAACCATGTTTTCGAATATGCTGTGATGGAATCACGATCAGTTTGTGTCAAGTGCTTGATGGTGGATGACTGTGTTCATTGTGAACCCGGTCAGCCCATCTTGCTGAACACATATGTATATCATTGTATCCATACATCCTGAGCCACTCCCTGGATTGATTCCTGCCTGAGATATGAGAATGCTCTGTGCAAGTGTCCGACATACGCTGAACCAAAACACTTAGGGATCATCAAAAACTATATACACTGTACACATTTAAAGAAACTGTCCTCATTTTTTTCGTTCAACACATCATCATCATCATCATCATCATCATCATCATCATCATCATGTTTGGGCTTCCATTCAGCTGGAAGGTTTGTAATGAAAAAACTGTGAAATGAAGTATTTGTGATCATGGTGCCCTGTAACATATTAACTTAAAATTAT